TCTCTCTCTCTCTCTCTCTCTGCCTGTTTCTCTTTCTGTCTCTTTCTGCCTCTCTCTCTTTTCTCTCTCTTTTCTCTCTATGCCTCTCTGTGTCTGTCTGTCTGCCTTCTCTGTCTCTCTGTCTCTTTCTCTTTGTCTATCTGTTCCTCTGTCTCTTTCTCTCTGTCTCTCTCTGCCTGTTTCTCTGTCTGTCTCTCTTCTCTGTGTGTGTGTCTTTCTGTGTCTCACTCTCTCTCTCTGTCTCTGCCTGTTTCTCTGTCTCTCTTTTTCTTTCTCTTTCTTTCTCGCTCTCTGTCTGTCTGTCTGTCATCTATCTACATCCATCCACCCCACCCATCCAAAACGATAAGCATGCATCAATAGTGTGAGATGGATTTCCTTGTGGTTTCCCACCACCCAAGTTTCTAATCAGGCTGACTGATTCTAGGAAAAAGTTCCATAAAAATTCTGTTCTTTGAAACATGAAAGTCTGTAAAAGGAAATTATTTCCGGAAATGCAATGACATTTTGCTGCACGAATTACAAGAGACTCTGTGCAGAATGTTAAGAGAGAGAAAAGATCTTTGAGCTTCAAATGCTTCTGCCTCTTTGATTCTCTTTACTTGTTAGCAAGAATGGTGGCAGGAGGGGAGGAAAGAACACTTTATGCATGCTCAGAGGTACTCTTCTTACTGCTTTTTATTTTATATTTTAGATACTCTTGGCTGATATTGGATCAAGTGTCCGATTTTCCTTTTGTTTTGAGTCCAGTTTTGGCTTAGAAAGTGACTTTTCAAAACTCAGCTGGGAGTCATAGAGATACAGAAAGAATGACGCGCCCCCACATTTGGGGTAAAGTTGTAACAGGACAAAGCAGGGAAGAGAAGAACCTCAAAAATTTACCAGCATGTCAGAGGCCGCCTAAAACGTTCTAATTAGGACGATTTTAAAAAAAATATTTTGAAGGGTTCTCGCAGGAGAGAGTCGTCCTGTTCGCCCCGCATAGCGGCTTCTTTGAGAAGCACGGAAGTGTGGTATATTTACTCATCCCGCGCAGGGTCATCCTCTTGGGAGTGGGAGGGAACCTCCTCTTTTTCTCCTCCCCCACCCGCCCGATTTGTCCATCCAATCAGCGCCTGGCGTGAGCGCCGCCGCCGCCACAAAGAGGGCGTCACCGCGCCTGCGCGGCTTGAAGGACCCGAAAGGGGCCTCCCGCTCCTCGCCGAACTCTCGCGAGAGGTTCCCCCTCCTCTTCTTTCCAAGATGGCGGCGGCTGAGGTGGAGGCTGCGCTGGCGCTGCTGAGCCGGGTCGCTGCGCTGGAAGAGCCTCTGGAGGAGCTGCGGGCCCTGCGGCTGGCCGTGCAGGCTCTGGCCCCCGCCGCCCTCCGCGAGCGAGGGCCCCGCTACCCCTTGGCCGGGCTCTTCGTCCTCATGGCCCGCGGGGATACGTAAGTGGATTGTGAGGGGGTTCCCTTACACTAAAAGGGGCTAGTCCTCATGGAGGAGAAGGTGGGGTCGTGGCTGGGGCGCTGTGAGGTTGGGTGGTCCACATGGGGCCGAATTTCAAGATCACAGGATGACAGGTGCATGCATTATTGGGTGTGCATGTGCATAGATATAATCTACCTCCCCCCCCCTCTTTCTCT